CGTAAATTGAAGTCTGAAGCATTTTGGACCAGGATAACAGGAATTTTCCTCGTTTGTGTCATTGGTGTTGCTAACATTTTGCCTTAATCATACTTCAGTCGGCTAATTCTGTCACAGAAATTTTAAGATAAGTTGGGTAGTCTAACGTACAACATGGTGGTAGAAGTTGAAGGTGTCCTGGGGTCATGATTCACATTCCGCTGCGAGCAATGGACAAAGCTCTGATGAAGATAATATCAGTGACGTGATGATCTGTCAGCGAGTCAGTTACTCAGTGACGTTGAGGCTAAAAGCATTGTCTCAAATCTGACTAGCCGAACAACCTCCTCGTGGTGTCAGCTGGGTGCTTCGAATTTAACCCGTTCCAGCAAATACTTCGGCGGCATTATTCCAGGACCTGGTGGGTTTTCACCTGAGAAGCGTTCTCCTTATAAAATCCATCAATGTCTGCTAATCAACACTGCGACTTGGCGGTTGTGGCTCGCCACAAACTAAAGTCACTGCCCCTTAAATATCCGGATCATCATATCCAACCCACGGACAGCAATAGGCCATCCTCACAGTGCCGACGCGATCATACAGTCAAAATGCAGCTGCACATTTGCAATCACAACCTACACAGCTTCACACATACACTTTGACATTCGTATATATTTGGCGGCGTCCGGTTTCGGATTTGCCTGTCACTGTGGCCAGCAACAGGGCGCATGCGCCTACAGAGGGACCATGGATGGCTTGCGCTGCTCCACCCACAGCTCCAACCACACACCCCATATCCAGTGTAAACCCGAAGGAATAAGACCGGAATGCATGAGGATGGTAGCCAAGTTTCATCAACGGAGCCGTCCCACACTCCTTCACAAGCAAACACAAGCACGCTGTAGTTTGGAATCAGTCTCACACAAGGCGGTAGCTGGACGGTGGTCCGCTCCACACTGAGTGCATAGAACCACTCTTGGAGCCTAGCACGGCCACAAGGACCGTGCACCCCGTCCCCTCCGGCAACGACCAACTCTCCTGGAGCTACCGGGTCACGTGACCCGGTAGCCGAAGGGGTGGAGGTTTCGGCTACAATTCCCATGGTCGCGGGATCGAGGCCTGCTGTCTCCACCTGATGAGATGAAATTACATCGAAACGCTTCGTAGTTGTGCATAGTTTTCGGGCCGGTAACACCCAATTTCCAAACAACATATTCATTTATTTACAGTCAATAAGGAGGGCGAATCCCAAGAAGAGGAATTAGACAGCAGAAATAAAGGTTTACATGAGAAATTTTCTGCACCAATGCTTATTTCTGCAATGAAATCTCAACTGGATATCAAACCAAGATTAGTAAGGAAAGAAGACTGAGGTTTAGGATCACAGACTCAGAGAGTGGTCTGAATGTGCGCCTGATTTCTTAAAGGAGGAGCTTACACCGGATAAATCCTTTGAACGCTTCCTTGATAATCTTGTTATTGAGCACATGGTAAGGCAGAAAATTGAGAACACCAGTTTAAAAAGTGATCACTCAGTCAGTATAACCAGGACGGAAATGCGTTCTTTTTTCGCAATTCTGTTTATCTCTGGCTTTAATCTATTACCACGAAGGCATTTATATTTGCAATCCTGAACAAGTTGTCCACAATGCAGCCATCAGTCAAATCATGAATGAGACAGATACGATAATGAGGAAGTATTTCCATCTGGTAAACAGTGACAATCACCAAGTGTATGACCGGTCTACGAATTTCGGACACTTTGTAACCTTTACAAGAAATAAATTATGAAATTCTTCAACATGGGAGCAAATTGGTGCGTGGATGAAAGCACGAAAACATATAACGGCTGTCATGGACTATAGTAGTGCTTCAGAAGAAGGCCTACCAGATTCGAATATAATCACTGGGTCCTTACTACCTCCCTAGCCTAGGCTGCCTATCAGGATCTCTCTATCAAGGAGCTCAGGCTAAATATTACAAGGTATTAGGTCTGGCATCTGGTACTTTTACAGATGTACCGCTGTTGATACCTTTAACAACAAATGCATCAGAGCAACGGGAACAGTTCGAGAACCATGACAAACAGGTGCGCCATCGGTACAAATGCCATGGGAAAAGTAAACAAGGATACTTATGACTGCTGTTTTGACAGGCGAGTTGACGTGTTCGTTTTGTCTTGGAATGATAGCTCCGACGTGACCCGTGTCAGCAACTCTGTTGCTGCATATTTTTTGCTGAATCTAAAGAGGTGGTCGGCGAAAGACAAACTACTAACACTAATAATAAAAATAATAATACGTATGTTTCCCGATTGTACGAGAAGCTGTCCCTGGATTGTGGACAGATCACGGGTACAATAATTATCATGCTCATGCATGAATGAAATATGTAATATGATATCAAAATAATTTGCATTCACGTAACTATTTGGTGCTGAATTCTTTGTACCATCTTTAATCATTGATTATATATTCCTTGGTCCATCCTGAAAGAACTCGTGTAGTGATTTACCCGATGGAAACATGGTCATTATCGAGTTCTGGTCAAGGAATTTCTAAGCTGAATGTGGAATGCTCTTGCATTTGTGCAAGACCTGATTGTGGCTGGTAGGCTATTCCACACGACAGCGTATCTGACGAGGAAGAAGTTGGATCGGATAGCTGTCCTGGTTCTCGGCATACATAATGTACTGGTCTTGTTGCGTATATTCCGAATGAAGTTATGTTGCATTTTAAGTGTACACAGATTGGTGTATGTATTTTGGTTTTTGAGATTATGTATCAGCATCAGGTTATGTTTCGGTCGTCGCAACCAAAAGGAGTTCGAACTTAAGCTGCTGGCAGTGTTCCTGATAACTCAATGTGGTTGATTTACTGAACAAGCGCTTAGTGAATGATTTTTGCAGGTTTTTCAAAGCTTTCCTGTCACCCATTTGCATGTTCCCATAGATGATGCTGCAGTATTCAAAGACAAGAAGTGTAAGTATTTTGAAAAGCTCTAGTCTGGCCTGGGTTTTATAGATTTTATGGCATATGTTAGCCACAGATCGTTTGGCAAGTGCTATTTGATACTCAACTTGTTTTGAGAAATTAAAGTTTGAAGAGTATCGTATGCCTAGATCACAGTTGGATAGTTTGACACAGATGCATTCATTGTTCAGCTTAACAGACTCTACAGGGATTAAACAGCCGTGTGACATAATGCATGATTTACTAGCTGAGTAATTTGGCATCCATGTATTGCACCATTTCTTAAGTAAATCGAGGTCTTCTTGAACGAACAGCATTGCGCTATTGAGTTCGTCTCGTCGAAATTTATCAATAATCTTTATGTCACCGGCGAACAAAACTGACCTGCCATGTTTTATGAACACCGTGATATGGTTAATATAAAGCAGGAAAAGCGAAAGATCAAGTACACTCCCTTGGATGACACCACTAGTGATTGAACGTGGGGAGGAGTTAGGATTATCAGCAGTGACTCTCTGGTAACGCCCATTCAGGTATGATGTCAACCAACCAACTAATGGGTTTCTGATTCCAAAGGACTCGATTTTTTTCAGTAGATGCTTGTGAGGCCCTCTGTCGAATGCTTTCTGCATATCCAGGAACAGTATTATAACTGCATATATGAAATCAATGACTTCTGTGATGTAACCCAGGTAGTGAAACTGACATCTTGTCCAGGGACGTTCGTCGAGGAAGCCATGGTTGGATTTGTTAAGTAGCCCATGACGATGAATAAATTCCATAATTCCACTTTTAACTAATTTTTCGAGTGATCTAACGATGACGGGAGTATGACGGTTAGGTCGATAATTAGTGACGTGCTGTTTGGGCCCTTCTTTATGGTGAAGAACAATACTGAATACTGAATACTACTGAATACTGTATTATAGAGCAAGTAGAAATGGATTCTGTACAACTCTTTCGAAATATGGCGAAAAACTTTATACAAGTTGTCAACCGTGGATATCATCGTCGTTCTCATGTAATGTTTAAAATATTCGACTTACGATATTTCAGGATTCACAAATGTGATATGTCATCGTAAGTGTGCAGTCGTTCTCTGTATCGAATAGAGGCAAAATACAAATCTAACAACGTTTTGAACTGCTGCACAGATGTTGCCTCATTCACATGTTAAGGCAAACTGTTCCAAATGTTTACCACTCTCCGTTCGAAGTACAGTGGGTGGGGAACACATTTCACATCCGGCACGACAAGTTTGCATCTGTGTCCGCGTGTGCTGCATGGCACTCGTAAGTGTAGCATTGACCTTAGCATGGGGAACTCACCGAGATGTAGAATTCGGTAGGTCATAATGAGGTCGACCCGCACCCGACGGTAGGACAAGGTGTAGAGTCCTAGTTTCTCGCACCGGTCTTCATACCCAAAGCCACGTAAACTCGGAATGAGCCTGGTAGCAACGTGTTGGACCCGTTCGATCTTTTGTGCCTCGCCTCGGGTAATCAGAAAGTAGGCGGGCGAACCGTACTCTAGCATTGGTCTAATGATAGAAGAGAACAGGCGAGTGGCAACCTCTTCAGACCATGTGCCGAAGCTACGTTTGAGCGCCCAAAGCATGCGCAGTCCGTTCCGATATAGCCTGTTCGTGTTGTCCACGGACTTCAAATCGTAGCGTGAGAGTACACCTAGGTCCTTCACGGAGGGTGTGGGGTATAACGTTTGGCCGTCAAGAGTGTAGGTTCGGCCGTTAGCATTCTTCCCCAGGCTTATAAATACAGACTTGGATGGGTTGACCGGGAGAAGAACTTCTGCAGACCATATGGATAAGCGGTTGAGATCTTGCTGAAGTAGGCCACAGTCATCGGGAGCGTCGATTTCTCTCCAAATCTTCATGTCGTCCGCAAACAAGGCACACGGCGACCGGAGAAACTGAGGTAGATCGTTGATGTGGATCAGGAACAGAGTGGGCCCCAGCACAGTGCCTTGAGGCACGCCACTTGTAGAGGGGTACCAGTCAGTTAGATGGTCGTCAACCTGTACTCTCCACTTTCATCCAACAAGAGAGTCGCGGATCCACCGGTGCAGTGAGCCAACGACGCCACACATACTGGGTATGTGAAGGAGAACCTCATGACTGATCTTGTCGAAGGCTTTACTGAAATCGATGAATATTACGTCGACGGATTTCCCCTTGTTTATTGCCTTCAACCACTCATGCCTCATCACAAGCAGGTTCGTAATGCATGATCGACCTTGTATAAAACCGTGCTGTGCGGGCGTCAGGACCTCGTTTGACTGTAGCAACTGCAGCAATCTCTTCTTCACGATTTTCTCAGCAACCTTTGCCAAAATAGGCTTCAGACAAATTGGCCTGTAATTGTCTGCTTTGCTAGGGTCGCCGCCTTTCGGAATAGGCTTCACCACCGCACATTTCCAGTCAATCGGCAATGAACCTTCGGACAGCGACCTGTTGAAAAGGTCAGTCACGACAGGAGAGAGGATGGTTGAGAGTGACTTGAGAACCAGTGGGTGAAACCCATCAGGTCCGGCAGGTTTGGTGCCGTCAAGGTTGGCGAGTAGTTGAGCTACCTCTTCAACGCCGCAATGCAGACTATCGAGTTCGGTAAAAGCGGTACACGTCGAACTCGGAACAGACACATGGTTATTCGCAAACACAGAAGCGAAGTGCGCCGCCAACGCGGACGCACGCTCAGTGCTGGAGGTTAGGGGCTGTCCATCCGTGCCATCCAGCACTGGCACATCACCTGCCGGCTTTAGGCGTCGCTTCACGTATGCAAAGATTCTCTTGGGGGCGGTCTTCGCGGCTAATGCGAGCTGCACTTCAAAGTGTCGGGGTTTATTCTTTTTCGAACTGTTGCAGAGGTTCCGCTGACATTTGTACCCTTCGTAATCATTGGCAGAGCCAGAGAGAAGTAATTTGTCCCACAGTCTGCGCCGCCTCCGAGCCAGGTTTCCATACTCCTTGTCAAACCAATGAGGCTTAATCGGTCCAACCTTTCGACATTTCAATGGCACAAATTGGGAACACAATGACGTCAATCTCTCTTTTATAAATATCCAACAATCTTCCACAGATGCAGCTTGTGACAGAGACCAATCCACTTGGCTCGCGGCTCGAGCAAGACCATCGAAGTCCGTTTTCCAGTAGTTGGGAGCAGGTTGCAGCGGATGTGAATACGGCAAAGATAATTCCATATCAGCTATCAGTACTGAGTGGTCGCTCGTAGCCAAAGCCTCCAGAATCCTAATGTCACGCACTCGTTGTTCGTAGCACGTTAACATCAGGTCGAGACAGGACGGGGTTGAACGTGTTGATATGCGTGTTGGCTGGCATATGTGTTGCGATGCACCAGTTTCAAGTACCAAATCCACGAACTTTGCTTTAACCTCACTATGTCCAGGCATCAAATGCACATCAGGCTATCGTACTCGAGGGCAGTTAAAATCGCCCATAAGCAGAAAGTGTGGACGACTTATGTGGGCTTGAAGATGGGGCATCCAATCCAAACAACGACTCAGGGGACTGCGATAAACTGCACCCACAAGCAGTTCTCCGCGCCTGAGGCGGATGGAGCACCACAGTAGCTCACGCAGGCCATCGTCACTTCGGTAGGTGCTCACAAGTCTCCCACACAGGGAAGACCGGATGTAAAGTAAGACACCACCGTGGGCATTCTTTAGTCTATCGCATCGGAAACACGAGTAACCGTTGAGTTGAAGTTCTTGGGTGTATAACTCTGCATGCAGCCATGTCTCTGCAGCGATGTTTCCTCTGATCCATAAGGTAGCTAGATTCTAAGGACAAGGTGATGATGTTTAACAAAAGCAGTGGTATGTCAGGTCCACCAAATTTAATAACTGAATGGGGGGGATGCCGTCGGAGTCTGGTTTGAGCGATGGTTTGATGGACTTCATAGCCTGTTAGATGGTCGAAAGAGAAATCTCGACATTATCTAGACCGCTTGTTGTACGTTCCAGGCAGCAAGGTATAGGGTTGGTTTCTACGTTCATGGAAGCAGCGAAAAAGTGCTAAACGGTTCAGAAAAGCTACTTCTAATCGCTTTGTCGAACACTGCTCGCGGAGCTCAATGGCCTAGTGATCATGGCGATAACCACCAATCACTGTGCGCCGAGTTCCACTCCCAGCTCGGCTATCTCTATCTGATGAGCTTAAACAAAGACGAAACCGTCGGTCGGAGAGTGCATGGATGGGAGAGAGCCACATCGAAACCCTCCACTAGCAGATGGGTCGTTAAGATGGAGACCCTCCTCATTAATAAGTTCTGTAATCAAAGACATTCGATTGTTAGTCCTACGACGGAGTGATTTGGCCAGTTCCTTTCCTTTGCATGTCATCTGCAAGGCATTCTGCTCGTCATTTTCAATCTGTTTCATTTGTGAGCGCTTGATGCAGGCTGTGGATTCGTTCAGCTATACTACTAGTGAGAAGTCTCTAGTTTTCCCGAACTTCCTGAGTAGTTTTCTTGTTTTCAAGTCACTCAGAGTGTCGCTTACAAGGAATGGCACGTTTATTATGCAGGACATGTACAGTTAGGATATGATTGATCTAGTAGTAGAAATGTTCCACTTCAATGTGGGCGCTAGTGGAGAGAAAAAACCCATCCCAGTTAGAAGACCGGATCTGCTTTCCGAAATGCTCCCAGTGAATCCTTCGTATAGTATGCTGGGTAGGTGTGAGTCGAGTTTTATATTCATTCCCAACTGGATAGAAAGGCGTAGCATGTTGTGGTCACTACCCGGAATGTTGTCTAACATGTCAATTTGTGCGTCAGGAATCCCCAGGGCGAAGATTAAATCCAATACACTGGCAGACCTAGTTGGTCTAGTAATCCACTGAGTCCAACCCCCAAGTCTGATAGTCGATAAGAAAGATCTGTACAATGATGAGGATGTTTGTGGTGACCAAGCAATATTCGGTAAATTGAAATCGCCAGCGATTATCTTTAGACCATGTGGTAACACTGATGTGAATTCAAAAGCCGAGGAGATAATTGCGATATCTTTGTCTGTCGCTTTCGGAGGGTTGTAGATGCAACCGAGAAGTATTGTAAAGAAGGCTGCAGCGACCGATAGCCATAGAGATTCTGGGACATTGTTTAACTGTGGGTCATCAATGAACTCTGCTCTGAAGTTCCGATGGAGATATATGATGCACCCGCCGCCTTTCTTTGTGCTACGATCTTTTCGAAATGGATAGTAGTTAGGAATATCTAAAGCAGCATCTAATGTATCAAGGGAGTACCATGTTTCGGCGACGAAAATTATATGTGGAGTGCTCAGCTGGGTAAGCATGCTTACAAAATACAACTTGTTTTTATGGATCTTGAGTTAATTAGTATAAGTGAAAATGTAGTGTGCACAAAAACGTTTTGTGTAAGTACTTCAAAGGATTGGGAATCAGAAATGACAGGCAAAGAAGTTAAATAAGGGAGTGGTGAAAACAAACCCATCGGTGGAATGCTTAGGTGTAAGGGCATTGTTCGCGCTAGTAAGACCGGGTGGGCGGAAAAATTGATGTCCCGATGCAAGGCTGGAGTTTATATGATATCGCGCTAACCGTGACATGTGGATGAACTGCCAGAAAAGTGGAACAAGATAGGCTGTTTCTGCTGGGTATGTCAGTGGTGGGAATGGGTGCGGAGCCATTCTCGCTTCCGGTAAAAAAGGGTAAGATAATTTGATGGATTCTGAAGTGCTGCATAGGTATGTCGCATGACAGGTGGCAGTCAGGTTTTCAACGTCTTTTTGATTTCCATTTCTCTTTCTAGAGTTGTTGTAGACGTGAGGTTGATAAGTATGCTGGCTTGTTAAAGGTTGGTAGGTAGGTGTAGTCAGAAGATAATTGTTGTGAGTTCTAACAGGCTCGAAGTGACGCGTAGTGCTGCGATGGCAAGGCAGTTGTTGACATGCAGATTTGAGCCCTACTGAGTTCCTCATAGCTGCGTATTTTGTGTAAATACCAAGCGATGAGATATTTGTGTTTACAACATCAGCACGCAAATCTGGGGGCGCATCTTGACCTTTGTATCTGTTTCTCGGTGCTTTTATTTGGTCCACAATAGTCACCTGTTCGTCTCATCTAACACTTCCTGTAGTGACTAAACCGTTTGAGATCGGAGCAATGAGGTCGCGGTCACGAGTACTGGCGTACCTTAAGTTCGGTTGTCATACAGTAGGCGTTGAGATAGAACTTGGGGCAGAGTTATTTGATAGTACTGTCCCTAGATACCAGTTGTCGAGATTCACGTTGGTAACTGCGGTTGACACACTTGGTGTGCACTTTTCATGTGGATTCGTGTGCGGTTTATCAGCGTAGCTGTTACGGTTTTCCGGCGGTTTCGGTGTAATTCTGAAATGCGGTCGTTGCATAGGTGTACGATCCGGCTTAATCAAAATGTCCTTGTACTGGGTACATGCAGTAATGATAGGTTGGTGGGACAATAAGCAATCTGCTTGAGAATTCGCTTGAAAATTTAAAAACGACTGGACAGCAATGTCTCCGTGTTTTCTTTCTCAGTCGCAGACATTTACAGACGACATCGGACATGTTACAATCGCTCAGTACATTCGCCTTTACTTTGTTCCAACTGAATCTGTCTGGTACGTTACAAGCGACCACATTTTTTACTTTACTGTTTCTTACATGTATCTCTGAGTCGATGTAGTCGATTAGTTGATCGACCTTGAACATGCTCAAACTTATCAGATTGGTTGCTAATGTGACCTAGTGCAACTAAGTGTTCTTTGAGGGGTTTACAGAAGGCCAAACTTTTCTTCATTTCGTCGAGCTCTGATTGCAAGGAGCAGACTTTGGCGCTAAATTTAGATATGAGCTGAGAGGCCGGAGAAGAACAGTCTAGTGGTCGTTTTACATCACATCTTAATCGTTTGGGCCGTGGCACAGAAGGCACATTGTCCTTAGGTAGGCGAGTGCGTTTGAACTTCGGTGGGGCCATAACAAGCCAGGGTGTCAACCGTCAGACTAATCATCATCATCATCATACACGTTAGCTAGAGGTGGGGAACACCTCAGCTACTGTGCCGCAATACACAGAAAAAGGAGAAAAAAAGAAATCAACTGGGGCAAGCTGGCTGAGCTACCGGTAACGGATGGGCATCGTTCCGGTAAGCTACCAGCCGGCTACTATGCATCAAAAAAATTACTATGCAAAATTATATAACGTTAAACAATGAGATCGTGGTTGGAGGGGGAGGCTAAGAGGGATGGGGTGGGACAAAGAAACTCACAGCACGAACGCCACTGAGGTCGGCTCCTAGCCATATCAGCAAGTGTATCCAACCAAACGTGTTCATCGTCCTTCGGACCCCAACCAGGGAGCCGAGACGCTCCAACCGAGGCCAGCTCAGAAGTGAGGGCCTTCATTCCTCTCGACCAAGTCATCGCTTGGCCACCCCTCCTCTTCTTCCATCCACACCCCCGGCGCGCAAACAACGCACGTCGCGGGAGTCGGTGGGCTGGCATGCGTAACACGTGGCCGAGCCATCGGAGCCTGGTGCGTGAAATAACGGTGCTGAGCGGTTCAGTTCCTTTTCCTGTGCCGTAAACAAGGCGTCGAACACGCTCGTTGCTCACGCGGTGTTCCCACCAGATGTGAGCTAAATTACGAAGGCACCGGTGGTCGAACGTAACTAGCCTCTTCAGGTCCGCTGCTTTAAGCGGCCAGGTTTCACAACCGTACAGTAGGGTCGAACGTACTGCTGCATTGTACACTCTACCCTTCAGGGCAAGAGTGATGTCGCGCCGGCGCCATAAGTGGCGAAGGTTAGCAAAAGCGCCCCGAGCTTTTGCTATACGGTTCGTGATCTCATCTTCAATCCCACGGGCGCTGATACAACTTCCCAGGTAGTTGAATTTTTGAACGACTTCTAGCTGATCCCCACCAAGGGTCAGCGTAGGAGGCGGTCCAGACCAATCTTGGAGGAACGCTTTGCACTTCGAGGGTGCGAAGCAAAGCCCGAAGTGACGGACAGCTAGTGCTAATCTGTCCAGTGCCGCTTGGCACGTTTGTGAGCTGTCACAGATTAGGGCAATATCATCAGCATACTCTAAGTCAAGAAGTCGTTCTCCTGGGAGTAGCTCCACACCTTCTAAGTCGTGTCCTGTAAACGCGATTTCCATGACTTCGTCAACAGCGAAATTGAAGAGGAAAGGTGACAGCGGGCATCCTTGTCTCACGCCGCTGGAGATATTAAAGGGCGACGACAGCTTGCCGTAAGCCCTCACTCTGCCCGAGCTACGC